GGGTCCCCGTGCCACTGTCCTCGTGCCACTGTCCCCATGTCCTCGTGCCACTGTCCCCCCATGCCCCTGTGCCACTGTCACCTGTGTCCCCGTGCCACTGTCACCCACGTGCTCGTGCCACTGTCCCCGTGTGTCCCCCACACCCATCTCCCCTGTGTCCTCATGGCACTGTCACCTGTGTCCCCGTGCCCCTGTCCCCTTGTGCCCCTGTTCCCCAAGTCCTTGTGCCACTGTCACCTGTGTCTTCATGGCCCGTCCCTTGTCCCCTTGTGTCCCCATCCCCTGAGTCCTTGTGCCCCTGTCCCCCATGTCCTCATGCTCCCTGTGCCCCCACTCTACATCCTCTCCACTGTGCCGTTTCCTCCCGTGTCCCATCATGTGTTCCTGTGTCCCACTGTGCCCCCCATGTCCCTTGTCCCCCTGTGTCCTCCATGCTCTCTGTTCCCCTGTGTCCCACCATGCCCCCTCTGCCTGTGTTCCCCCATGTCCCGCTGTGCAGCCCAGCCCCTCACACCCGCAGGCTGTGGGGTGGCTGCCCCATGGCTGCACAAGAGGTGTCTGGGCAGCTGAGCTGGACCCTGGGGTCTTCGGGCTGCAGCGCTCCAAGGACAGTGGGACTGGAACAGCCCCAGGCGCTGGCTGGCAGGAGCCCCAGGAGCAGACACCCCTGCGCTCAGGGTCCCCGTCCCCAGGGGGTCCTGTCCCTGCCAGACGTGGTGCTGCTGGCAGAGGCATGTGACGGCACTGGGCAGGTTCTGGCAACTGAAGCCTCTGGTGCGGTTGGACAGCAAAACCACCCTGCGGGCTCAGTGCACGCTGCACAGCCCGCTGGGACCCCAAACCTGGGGAGATGTGGTGCTTCGCTCCAGGAGCACTGGACTGCCCTGGTTGCCTGGAAAAGGACCTTGACAACCCTCCCCCCCTCGCCAAGACCCATTGCTAAAATGGCGCCAAAAAATGGCTTTCTCTGCCTCCCACCCTGCCCACGGCACGGCTGGGCAGCAATGCTCTGGGTGCCACGTGCTGGAAAGTTTCTGCCGAGGAAGTGGCGTGTGCTGAGGCCGGGGCTATTCCTGGCTCCCAGCTGGTGTTTGGCTGAAGCGGGCTCTTGTTTTCGGCCAGGTTGTAATTTTAGCGAAGGCTGTTCCTGAGCAGCGGGGCTGCGGTCGGCACAGCTGCCCGGGGAGAGCGCTGGCTCAGCTGGGGGGACAGTGATGTGCATCAGCACCCCCTGCCCACGGCCAGCCCGAGGTGCTGGGCAAAAGCGCCCAAAACATGGCAGAAATGCTTAAACCCAGTGTTCTTCCCCCAGTGTGGCTCAGAGGAAGGGGAAAGGGCTGGGGGCCCGCTGCGGCCGGGGCGGGGGGGATTTGCTCAGGGTGGGGAGGCTGCTGGTGAGGGTGGCACTGGCTGGGGGGGGGGGTCCCGCCCGGGGGGGG